AAGTCGGTAAATGACAGCAATAAACGAGTGCCATCTACCGTCGAAAATATGAAAAGGAGATGACTTTTTGAGGAGACGTATCTTACAGGAAATTTTGATATTTCGGATTTCGCATCACGATATCTCCGTTCGTGGGACACGTAGAGGTAAAATAAACGTTTATTATATAATTCGGACCTAAATTATCGATAGAACTCATATTCAGAATTCCATCGGTCTAGCCTTTATTAAAAAAACCGGGAATTTCGGGTACTCGGATGCCCGCAACTCGCTGACTCGCGTAAATACACTCGTGTCTCGCGCTGCGCGCCCACTTGGCGCGAGACACTACCGTGTCTCTTGATGTTCTTTTTTTATTCAATCCGTATCGAACTTCTGATTGAAAGCGTTCCCGCTGTGTTGCTGTTTTAGCTGCGCGAGTACACCTTGACCGAATCGTATCATGAAGACGAAGTCGAAGTGGAATTCGTCAGCAATGACAATCTGCAAGCGAACAGCGAGGCTCCCAGAGGAATCGATCCGAACAGGGATCTAAACGAAGCCATAGCCGAAGAACGAAGGGAAATGGACACTCAGAGATACAGGTACGTTTCCTCCACTCTGACCTTTTTCGTTTTGTTTTTCCTCTTACCCGAACTTTTTACTTCGTTTTTTGTGAACTTCCGACAATAAAAAATCGCGCTTTTTACTGCGTTTTTGGTAAATGGACTTCAAAATCAAAGAATTATCCTTTTTCCCTTCTTTTTACATATCCGCATTTTGAATCCCGTTATTGAATTGGTTCGAATTTGGATGAGTTAATCAAATCAGTTGAGAAATATTAAAAAGGAAATTAACTAAAGAAAATTTAATTAGTTATCTTTATTGAAACGTAGAATATTGACGTCATGTATATTAATGAAAAATCTAGAAAGTACAGTCTGGGTATGAAATAATTCCAAATAAAAGAGGGAAAAAGACAGAAAAGGAAGAAAAGCAGTCACTAAATAAATAATATTCACTTCCAAAGCATTTTTATTAATTCAATAGATGCCACAGCCTCGCAATAATCTTACAAAAATGATGTAGTGGCTCTCTCGTATATATATATATTTCTTTTCTTCTCGTATCTTCTTAAGACACTCTTGTTCGATACGGGATAAATACTATCGATACGAAAATACTATCTTATAAACCTATGGTTCATAAGTCAGAACGAAAATTCCAAAGTTCGAATCAGTTCGTTAAACCCAGCTACCTAATACTTTCTCTTCAAGTTTTAATTCCTTCAAGATGTCACCCGGAGGCGAAGCTCTTAAGCTCGAAGATATAGAATAGATAGCAAACGTCTTCTTCTGGATGATGAGAGAAGATAGCATAAGTAACAAATATATATTCAATAGACGCATTCGCGTCAAGCGTGTTCCATCTTAGAGAAATTACGATCATTTGTCACGTCTATATATTGGCATCGAATTTTGAAAATGACATTAAGCTATTCTATCCCATATTACTATCTTTTTCCCTTGAAGAAAAGGAAGCAAATATCTGCGTAGAAAATTATAAAGTATCATGACAGAAAGATATACAACGATAAATTTTCTCGTAACATGAATGCGCACTGTTGTCAAAGAATAAGTCTACGCGAGTAAGTATAACAAAAATAATACTCCAGAAGAGAGAAAAAAGTTCATACTTTAGAATTTAGATAATGACAGTATTGATTATTATGAGTAATGCTCTTTTAAACACTCGATTTTAAATCATTTGTTACAGTGGTAATATTATAAATGCTATAAAATAACATATGTTCTAAAAATTGTAATAAATTTTCCAACTTAAAATGCACTATCATGCATTTTGCAATTTACTTGCAACACACAGTCCACAGAAACTTTTTCATTGCAATGACCAATACTGTCACCAAAGTATTGACCTTTCCTCTTGGGACGCTCTTACTTTCCTCTCACTTTATGAAAGGTCCTGTGACTAGATCCGTTCAGCCTTTCACCACTCTCTTTTATAACACGAACTCGGATCGTTCTTCTGTGCCTTACAGCAGTGCCCCTTCATGCCCTTACGAGATTTCTCGTCCGTCCTTCTAACATACCCCTTCTCGCTCCATTTCTCTCTTTAACTTTTACGATGGAGAATTCGAGCGGAGGGTTGCATGAAGATCGCGAGTCTTCTTCTCACGATGTCGTCCTTACTCGACACTCGGAAAAATCGCCAGACTTACTCCGTGACATTTGACAATTCCGTATGACATTTACGCGATAATAGAACGAAAATGTCCTGATATGCCTTTAGAAGAAAACTCGTCCGTTGAAAACACGACTTTCTACTTTCTCCATATCGCCCTAACATCTTTCAAGTCTCTTCAATTAGCCCTAATAAAATTACCTACTTTTTATTCCTAATACACACGCGCACAGCAAAGTGCAAACTGTGAATTACTGTTAACACCGTTTGCCCCAATTGCACGGGAATAAAAGTTTAAAAAGAATTTATAGGCAAGTTTTAAACCACTTTCTTACGTAGAAATAAAATGTTTGTGTAGAAATAAAATTTTCAAATCCGAAATAAAATCTCTCATTTAAGAGATCGTAAAATAACAAATGATCATATTAATATTACCAATTTAAGATAAAATTTATATGACTAAATGGCTTATTAACAGTTCAATTTAACAATGTATGTGGTTTAATAATATAAATCCTATATCATTTTAATTAAAATATAATTATAATTAATATAATTATAACAATTATAATTAATCTAATTATAACAATTATAATTAGCGCTTTCTTTAAAATTCTTATAAAAATTTAAAATCAAATTACTTTCCAAAATGGAACTAGTTATACGTATATAAATAACAGTAACTTTTGTATATACAATCATTTTTCGTCATATTTCTTTTATAAGAAAGCAATTGATGTATATAAAATAAAAAATGTAATTTACTCTTCAAAAAGAAAAGTTAATTGATGGTCACAGAATGTATATTGTACGCGACGAAAGTAATATTCTCTTTCGTTTTGTTTATTTTAATATTGAACGGAAGAGCCAACCGAAGTCACCTCCGAGCTATAAATGCAATTTATCGCGAAACGTAGCTAGTCAGATTGGATATGATGCAACCGACATTGATTATCAATAACGATATTACGCATCCGCAGAAGTCGTATAATCCTCGTTTGTTTGTGCCAATTTAAATACAAATTTATTATTTCATTATGATATTACGTATACATATATGATGACGTCTTGCGTCTTGTTATAATTGTATCCTCAAATGTATCCGCAGGGAAATGCCCTATGAGACTTCGACTTTATAATTATTCATCGACTATCACCGAGACAACTTCCATCGGATTTTTATCATTAAAAATAAATTATCGGAAATTATGAAAAAAAAATTTCAATAATTTAATTAATGCAATCAAGAAATTAATATTCGTATATATATATATAACATAAATAATCTGGTGTTGGGTATATATTCTGATTCCTCTGTACAAGAGGTTTCACTATCATGTATATATAGGGAAGACTGGGGCTGGTTGTTGTACGGGGTTGATTGTCAAAATGCTTATAACTCAAACAAAACACGGCAGAAAAATCTCTTTTTTTGACTGTAGATAGCTGATATAATATTAATTTGTTGTGTAAAATGGTTTGCACCACAAGCATTGTATATATTATTTATAGCGATTTTTGAGAAAATAAAGTTGGTTAGTAAATTTTTATAATCACCTATTTTGTTGTCTGACGAGTCTTTGGCATTATTAATCGTAATATCCCTGTATTCATAGAAAATAACATATCTTAGAAGATCTTTGCTACCATTAAGTAATCATTATTCTGACTAAGTTTGTGAATACAATCTCTTTTATTAAAAATAGCTATGTGGGGTAGATTGACCAAAATGAGTTGAGATTAGGTGGCAATTAATTTTAATATTTTTAGAGGACACATTTTCAGAATATACTTACAAATATATTATATTAGGTGTTAAACTTAATTCCTATCGTTTTCTCGTCTCGAAAATCGATTTGTTTCGAAGGGAAGATGAATGAATACCTTAATCAAAGTAATTTCCTCCATTTTCTACTACTTTTTCCCATCTCTCCGGC